GTTGTCGCCCTGTTGATGACATCAGCAACGCGGTTTAATCGGGCGCGGCTTAGTCGAGCGCGGTTTTGACGGGTCACGCAGCAGCAGCTCCTCCTATGACTCAATGTTCAGTCACTGAAAGTCCCATTCACTTTAATGGGACGGCTGGTGATGCGGCAGTGACGCAACAAAGTGAGGGACGTGGCAGGCAGCAGGTGAGTGGAAGCCTGTTAAGAGGAGCTCCCATGATGGATTGGAAATGACAGGTGCTCTTTAATATTAGAAGGTTTCACTTTCATTTTTACTGCTTGCCCTTCCTCCTCACACTTAAAGAGTCTGGTGGTACAGATGCATTTCTCTTCAAACAATCATATAGTTTGTAGTGTACATAGATTTGCAAAACAATGGGATAAAGGAATATTCCTGAACTTTGTTTTGATTTACCTCGTGGTTATTGTGAAATTGTGTAAATGTATCAAGGCAGTGCATGTTATCTCAGCATGCAGAGCTTGGATTCACTGAGTTTCCCAAAAATGTAAACATTGCAAAATATACAGCCTCATGCTAAATAACTAAACTCCATTTCATGCTGAATAATCTAAATTATTAATGTATCTTAAATATAAAACTATATTTAGACAGATTTTTTAGTCCAACAAGCATTTTGTTAAAATAAATTTGATAAAAATAAAAAAATCCGATTTAAAATTTAAAAATCTGATTTTTTTAAAAAAAAAATTTAAATCATCAATTTTTATCTACCCTGATATTAATCCTATTTGGGGGTGGGGTTTTATGGTTCTGATTTTCAGTAATTGTACTGGGAGACGAGTTCAAAAACTGTCTGTGTGGTTTCCCATCCCACAGCTTGGTGGGTTTAGGCACTCTTGATTTATATAGCTCAGTCATAAAGGGCATTCGTGTCTACTGATCTTCTCAGCATTGGCCAAGACAACATCTCAAGCCAATCACAACCTCTGTTGCTACGTATCATTATAAACACTGCTTTAGCATTATTTACCCATCAAAGAAGGTTTTGAAAAGCACGCTCCGTACTTACCAATAGGCAGCGCAAATATGTTGGGGAGGGTACGAGTGCAGTAAAACATCAGGTGGAATTGAGTAGCTGTCATTAGGTAGAAAATCATGGATACAGTAAAACCAAACTGCTTTCTCACTTCTTTGTGTAGCCGCCATAGGGCATAAATCACTGTCAAGCCTAAGGTTGCTCGGACTGATGGCAAAATAACATGAATAACAATGAAAAATAAGGTTTATTATCTGTAATAGAAATAATTAGAGGTAATGTTCACGGTCTAAGTGACTTTGGCTATATAAAAGTATTAGAAATTACAATGATTTACCATACAATAAAAAAAACATAAAGAAAAGTGGCTGTATTTCATACCTATCAACTGCGAGTAGAATTTTGACATTTGTAAAAGGGACAATATATAGATGGCTGGACTGGAAAGAAGAGCAATAAAAATTGGACCAATGAATGTTCTCGGGACAACTCCAGGAAATTCATGATGATCATACTGCAATTAAAAAATAAATAAATCCATAGATGTCTAGAAATAGCTGCAAAAAGAAATTCTATAATTTCATTATACTTCTTTAGTTAAGAAAGAGCAAAGGTAACCCATATTAGTTATCAATATGTTTGTTCCAAAATTCATACGGAAGACACCAAGAATGTCATTAGTGGAATAGTTCTGCGGGATATATCTGGAAATAAATGAGGACGTTCTGCAGTTTTCTTGGGAAGGTTTTTCAGAAGTGGTTTGCCCTTACCTTCTTCCCAGGGCTGAGAGAAAGTGACTGGCCCAAAGTCCTCAAACTAGAGTTGTGCCTAAAGGTTGAACTAGAACTCACAGTCTCCTAGTTTCTAGCATGATTCCTTAACTACTACACTAATTCTTCTTATTTTAAAGTCTTTCTATTTTGTTACTTCTGATTATGGAAAAATCATGGAAATTTAAATAGTATTTATTTGGAACACCAATTCATAAAATAAAGTTCTTCGCATGATTCTTAGATCATTAGTACTAAATCATATTCAGAGATTTTTTTTCTGAACTGGAGATCAGAAATTCACTATTTGTGTCCACAGATTCAGATCAATTGATCCGTAGATTGTGCTATTAATTTTTACAATAGCAATAGCAGTTAAACTTATATACCGCTTCATAGGGCTTTCAGCCCTCTCTAAGCGTTTACAGAGTCAGCATATTGCCCCCAACAAT